TTTTTTTTGCACAAGCAGGGCCGTATGGTCCTGGCTCCTTCTATTCTGGGGAGCGTCAGTCCGGTTCCTATTCCACCGGCAAGTCAAATTTCACATTACATCATTGATCACTCACACACGCTTCCTTCCGTCAGGCCGAAGGACCCCTGAGAAGCATTGATTACTCCCCTGCGGGAGGATTGACTGTCAGCTTGCCTTTTCCTTCTCTTTCCTCTTCCGATCATCGAAATTAGAACCTGGCAGGGTATTCGTCAGCTTTCGGACCCCTGAGGTAGGATCTTCCTCTGCAGCCCCCGTTCATGTTCCAGTATTGTCATCATCCCCAACTTATCTTCCTAAACCCCATGTTGTCTRARCCCCCTGGGTTTCTTGAAGATTGTACTTATCCCCTTGCGGCCTCAGAAGTGGTTATGCCTTCCAGCGATGTCTGATGTTGGGAACCCCTTCCCGKAATTAGTACCTCGCAGGTGTTCATCTGGGAGACTAATCTTTGTGTACCAAAAGGTCGCCTGGCCTAACAAACTTGACAGAATCGTGCCACTCTTCCAGCTTTCTCCCTTGCTCAGCCCCCGTTCATGTTCCAGTATTGTCATCATTCCCAACTTATCCTCCTTAAACCCCGGTTGTCTGTACCCCCTGGGTCGCTTGAAGATTGTATTTATCCCCTTGCGGCCTCAGATGTGGTTATGCCTTCCAGCGATGTCTGAAGTTGGGAACCCCTTCCGGGAATTAGTACCTCGCAGGTGTCCATCTGGGAAACGGATCTTTGTGTCCCGAGAGGTCGCCTGGCCGGACAAACTTGACAGAATCGTGCCACTCTTCCAGCTTCAGCCCTTACCCAAATATCTTTTCCTCCCTATTCCTCTCTATCTGTCGTGGGGTATCCTGAACCTCTCCTAACCCTTCACGAGTTGTGCCATTCCTTCCATCGTAGATAAGAGGTCTTTACCTCAGCAACTTTTCCTTCAACCAGCAAAGTATTAGTGAACTTTAGAAGTGCTGCCCGCCGTTGCTCGTCGTCGTCTGGTAGGGAGAGTTTTGGCTTGTGCCACTTGCATAGAATCTCCGCTTGGATTAAGTCTTTAGTTTCTGCCCAGACTTTTTCCCTCGAGTTTGACGTACCTTCAATGGTCTTGCCGCACCTTTCCTTCCAGATGATCCACAGTGTCGCTTTCCTGATCATTCCGAACCAGATCCTCTCTGTCTTGTTGAGCTGGGTGGGGATGTTAGTCCAAAGGAGAAGTTGGAGGGGATGTTCAGGGAGGGGAGATGAGAATAAGGAATCCCAGAGGGCCGATGCCCTTGCCCAGTATTCTGTTGCCTCTTTGCAGCGTACTAGACAATGGAGCATGTCTTCGGGTTCATTATCCGTACAAACTGAACATAGATCTGAGCTGTTGGGATCGTTCTTGTGTCTCCGGATGTGCAACCATTGATTAACCGGTAAGGCCACTCCTCTTGACGGTTTCTTGTCAAATAATTGATTTCTCGTTCCCAGAGTGCAGACTAAAATCCATTACTCCAACAGCTTTTTAATCCACTTCTCAACCGGCTTTTTGCTGCTTTTTTTTTTTTCCAAACAAACAAACAAAGCTGAAACGGTTGTCACCTATTATGGTAACAGATGCAGATCCCAGGGATCAATTCCTAGACCTCCCCCTTACCCATGTACAGTACCCGTTGACCCGTGTGTTTGAACCCGCGACCTGTTCCCTGAAAATCGTGTGTTCAACTGTTGTATAGTGTGGTCGCTGGGGTTTGACCCGTAGGTCTGCGTTTTAGTGGTCGTAGGGTCGGCATGGACTGTAGCCGCTGTAGGTCCGAAAGGTCCAGATCTGGAGTCTTCTAGACTAGTCTCCTTGACCCTTCATAGGTCCTGGGAGTTAGTCCGCATCTAAGTCAGCAGAGGGCAGTCCTAGCACAGTCAGCAAAGGGCAGTCCTAGTCCTACCTAGTCCAGTCAGCGGTACCCAGTCCCAAGGTGCACTTTGTCTAGTCAGCAAGCACCATGTTGGACGAGGCACACCCCGGGCCCAGGGTCCACGGGCAGACCTACGACGATCCGAAGTATATATAAAGAGGCAGCGTCAAGTCATTCATTCGTTCTGCCTGTGAGTCCTACCTAGCGTCTTGTGCTACGGAGGTCTGCAGGTGCCCGAAGGAGAAGAGGGCTAAGAGGAGGAAGACGCGGCCATAGCTGCGAGTTAGTCTAGGAGGGAGAAGGCAGCCATAGCTGCCACGTAGGATAGGGTAGGAACTACTAGGAAGTGTATGTGTATGTGGAGTGCGTGTGTGTGCGGGACATCCAGGGTGATCCAGGTGTGCGTGTGTGTGTGCGAATAAGTCGCTGGTGGATACAGTTGATCGGGTGGGAATCTTTGTCTGGTGCTATGTGCCATAGCCATCAAAGACAAGTTTGAGTCTGAGCTGTATTCCTGGCCACGTTTTATCTCTGAGCTTTGTGTGGGCGCTTCGCGCCAAGTTGAACGTCATCTGTTTGCAACTTTGCATGCATGCTGAGTGAGTGAAGACAAGTCTGAATGCAAAAGCCCCTTCTATTCTGGGGGGCAGCAGTCCGGTTGCTTATCACCAGCGAGCATAGTTCCACAGCGCAGAAGGGGGAAATTGCAGATTCAACAGCTTCCTTTCCCTTGCGGCGCTAGCCACCTGTCCAAGGGAGCTCAAACGGCTTTTTTTTTTTCCCTTCTTTTTCTTTTTTTCTAACAAAACACACAAGCCCCTTCTATTCTGGGGGGCGTCAGTCCAGTTGCTTATTACCGGCAAGCTAGAGTACACCAAACAACAAGAGAAGGAAAGCAGAGACGCCTCAGCCATACCCTTGCAGTATGAGTCACCTACTCAAGGCCACTTCCTTTTTTTTTTTTCTTGATGACGAATTTGCTGGAATTTTCAATTCCACTTCTCAGTGTCCATCTCATCCAGTTCTTATGCCACTGCTGAATCCACTTCTCAATTCCTTTGTCTATTCGCATGTGAATGACCTAATCCACTTTTCTACCCACATCTATCTCAGTGGTATTCCAGAGCAACATCCGTCTAACCTGGCCAGCAGCAGGCAGGCCAAACTGGTGCTGTGTTCGGGTTTGTTTAGAGCATCATGAACCTGTCCGGAAAAATGGTCCGGTTCGTGCTTTTTTGGGACAAGCAGCGCAGTGGTGTGGCATGCCCAAGTTCTGCATGTGTTCTGTTATTTTTTTGGAACATGGCAAACCAGGTAAAGGTATTGGCAAGAAAGCTTTTGCCCTTCTACAGTCTGAGAACCAGGAAGCACACCTGCGCGCTCTCATGACTGTTATGTTAAGATGAGAAGGGGAGAGAGAAAGGATAGGTTGGGAGGTGAGAGTGCAAACCTCTTAGCTCTGCATATTTGAAGAAATGAGCAAGTACACAGCCCCCCTGAACCTGTTTGAACCGTCTCGCCTGTTCTGCAGATGTCTCCGTGCTTGAACTGTATCTTCTAGTTGCTATGAAAAGGCTGGAGGTGAAGGAGAAGGAGTCTTATAACTTCCACATGGTTTATGCAGGTTAGTGAGTGAGTGAGCCACCTTTATAAAGGGGGAAAAAAAAGGGTTTGTATGACTTTGTAAATGGTTAGCCACCTCCCATCGAATTCATTTCACGTGTGCCACCACCAAAGTTCTCCGCAACTGCAGTGAATCGGTGAGTGATGTGTCTGCCAGAGCCAGCTGTCTCATCTACCTGACATATCTTGAAATGCTAGACGGCAAATGAATATGCTTGGTCCTTTTTCTTTTCTCTTTTTTTTTTTTAATTTTGCTAAAGCTTAAAGGGGCTAATAATGCCTTACATCCTTCTGTGCGGTTGATTCTATCAGGATTTGAACTTGCGATCTGTTTAGTAACAGTAGCACGAGCATAGTACCATTCCGCCACCAGGATGATCACCATCCTGATTGTCTTCAGGACTGTGGCACCTTGTGCATGAAGAATCTACGAATGTCGGAATGTGTGTCTTGCAAATCTCTGCTACTTGGTTCCATCAGGTTTCGAGCTGCCGGTCTGTCTAGTAAGAGTATGGTGTGTGCCATTCAGCCACGAGGTTGACTGCCATCCTGATTGCAATCGGAACCAGAGGGGTGAAACTTTGTGCATGAAGAACCTGCAAATATGTTGCAAATCCATGATGATCATCATGATCATCGTCGTCGTCGTCGTCATCATCATCATCATCATCATTTTATTTTATTTTTCTCTTCCTTTTTTCTTTTTCTTTTTCTTTCTTCTTTTTTTTGTTTAGTAAGAGCAACCGCCTTGAGACATCATCATCAAACAGACCGTCCCTAGGTAATTCAGAATCATACTATTATTTCACTCATCTGCTTCCAATGGAGTTCGAACTCGGGTCTGTATTTCAACAGTTTACCAACTGAGCTAGGCCAGTAGGTATCATCATCATCATCATCATCATATTCTGTGCAAGTTCTTTTGATGCACTGCTGGGGCAGAGAGGAAGGGGGGATGGGGCTGATGGCAAGAAAGGAGGGGTGGGGCTGAGGGGAAGGAAGAGGTGGTGGCGCTGAGGGGAAGGAAGGGGGGGTGGCGCTGAGGGAAAGATATGAGGAGGTGGCATGGCAAGTTGCATAAAGTTCGTTTGAAACCCTGGGGGAAATTTCGCGCAGCTATTCACCTGTGTGGGCGGTCCTTCCGTGCATTTCAACAAATACACGCTCCCAACGCGGATTTATTAAACCATGAGTTTGCTTTCCCAGCTATTTTGTTCCAACGCGGCGGTGTGGGGTGAGGGAAAGTAAGGAGAAGGTGGACTTGGCAAGTTGTTGTTTCTGGTGACAGTTGGAAGTGTAGATTTTAAGAGTAAGTGTGGCATTCTGACACCACACGGACCCCAGTTAGGGCCCGGTTCCGTAGATAGGCTTAGTTTAGGCCTAGGGTCAGGGGTCACGTTGGTTCAGACCGTAGGTCGGCCCAGAGGCCGAGTAGGCCAACGGTCCCATGGGCCAGCCCGGTACCGGTGCAACACCAGGACCTACCAGCGGCGCAGTTTTGACGGCAGCCAAGTTTAGGCGCCACTTTTCAGATTTCGGATCGGATCGGATCGGATCGGATCTGAACCGTTGAGCTGAGGTACCAGCAGCCTGGAGGCCGGCCCAGCGCTATATCAGCCGGGTACCAGCCTCAGTAGGCAGGTTAGTCTAGGACAGCGTTTCGGCGTTAGAATAGCGGAGCCGCGAGGAGGATTACCGCCAGCTCTCTGGCTCAGCCCGCAGCCCAGCGCCCAGCACTGCAGCGCCATAGCTGCATCGCCAGGCTCGGCCTCAGCGGACATCGGCAGGGACGGCGTGGCCACTCAGGTATCAGGGAGAAAGGCTTCGCCTTTCTTCCCTCTTCCTTTCTCTCCTCCTCCGCCCTCTTTCTCTTCCTGCCCTCTAAGTCTAAGTCTACTTCTTGGGTTACTCCTACTGGACCACTACGAGTATGCAGGATGGTTACGAGTTCTGATGATATCAGAGATAACAACATTGAGACTTTCGGTTGAGGACTACTTTGGGATTTGACTTCGTCTACCTCTGGAGATGTATCTTGGCATTGGGAGATCGATATCTGGGATACTGTGGGACTCTGTGTTCGCGACATTTCAGATTTTCGCTACTTGTAAGTTATGACATTTTGAGATACTATTTTTGGAGACATTGAGTTGACGTCATCTTCCCTCTCCTCCTCCCTTCGTCTCTCCTCCCCTCCATTCATCTGTGTATGAGATCAGACCCTGGCCCCTTCTTCCATGTCCAAGGCCAGGGCTTTCACACCACCGATGCATGTTTGTGAGGGATTGGTTGCAGTCTGAGTCAGGTTTGAGTCAATCCATGTGTATCAAGTCTTCCGCTGTAATTGTATTCACTCTGTATTATCTGGTCAGTTCTGGGAATCTGCGCCATACTTATGTCTGTGTTCACGAGTATGCAACAGTAAGGTTATTATGAAACCCTGGGGGAAATTTCTGGCACGCGGGCGAGGGGGCGGTGTATAGTGCATTGGCAGCCGGAATCAGCTGTCGTGCGTGGGTTTAGCAGGGGGGGCGGAGGGGGGAGCACAGCAGTGGCAGAGGGGGAAAAGAATAACACGTCAAGGGAGGATTGGTGGGCAGTGGGAGCGGTTTGCATTTACGTTGTGATTCGTGGATCAGTCAAAGGTGGAGGAGGGGGCAGCATAACGTAGGCTCCACCGATGGGACACATGCTTGCAGTTTGTAACACGTGTGTGGCCCTTCAGTGCATTTCAACCAATACACGCGCCTGAGGACGATAACTGTCTTAAACCACAAGTACACAGCCCCAGCCTCGCAGTACGAAACTTGTCGCCACAAGAAAACGAGGTCGAAACGTCAAACGCTGAGCCCGCCGTTGATAAATTCGATCGGCGGCCCCATTTTCGTTTCGCGCCTCCAGAATTTGAGGTGTCAGACCCGCGCCCCAGGTGCCCATGTGCTGGTGGTTTAAAGCTCTTTTTTCTTTTGATCGTCTTCTTTGTCTAGAAAGGAAGGTGGATGGTCATTACCTCAGAGCTGTTTTCTAAACCTGTGCAATTTTTTTTCATTTTTTTTTTTGTCAATCTGTTCTTTTGGCTGCAGAGTATGACCATCTGCAGGCCAATCATGTGCATAATTCCTGTGACAGATATTCTCGTGGGGTGGCATTGAGGGTAAAGCCCATCTTTCCTTTCTCCTCCCTCCTCCTCTCTCCCATCTGCCACCTTGCCTGCAGGGTCTGGCTGTCTGCCAGTGTCCTTCTGCTACTGTGCTGCCATTTTAGCATCCTCCATTTTCCATGAGACTCACAACCAAGGTCGAGCTGCTATTTTGTTGAAAATTATGTGCCCATTATGGCTGTCAGAGTCGTCATAGGGGATTAATTAATAATTATTCATTATTGCTGTCTCAGATTTCTCTATCATGGATCACAAGGCTCACAACCTACCTTTCATTTTGCACTTGAAAATTGAAAGTTGAAAACGAGTTTTTAACTTTTTAGTATTTACTACTTTTTAGATCATTTACCATCGGCAATATCAGTCAGTCAGAGATGCAATGGGCCCATGGGGAACTCATCGTCTGATCAAATCAGATTTTTGTGTACAAAACTCCACCCAAATGAAATCCACACCTTCTATGAGGCATTATGTGGTGGGCAATTTATTGCCTGTCAAAATGATGGCTACATCAGGCTGGAAGGCTTAATCAATGCTCTATTATCCGTTCAATTGTGTCCCACAATCATCTTTGCTCCACCTGTGTTGCTGGGTGTCAATGGTCAGCATCGGAGGCTGCCGCGTAGGTAACCCTTGGGGGGGGTATATACTCCGCTTTGCTCTCAGTATCTGTAACCAGTGTCTGTTTCTCGCCTCACTTCTTTCTTGCAACTTTCACTTATGGTCTGCAGTTTTCTTCTTTTTTTATTTATTAAAAAAAAAAAGGTGACAACCTTGAGATGTCATCATCGAACTGACCGGCCGTAGGTAATTCAGAATTGTTTCAATTGTAGTATTTTACCCATCTCCTTTCAGTGGGGTTCGAACTCCGGTCTGCATTTCAACAGTTCGAGGGTGTACCAACTGACCTAGGCCAATTGGTTATGGTTGGCAGTTTTCTCTCTTATGCAGCAACATTTCTTTTCATCTTGCTCATGTCCTCACTTCATTTTATTCCCAAGTGCTAGTTTGTGTGTGTGTGTGTGTGTGTGTGTGTGTGTGTGTGTGTGTGTGTGTGTGTGTGAGAGAGAGAGAGAGAGAGAAGATATGAGAGAGAAGAAACAGGAGATCGAAACGGAGGGTGAAAAGAGGGGGATGACTACTGAAATGAAGAGAGGTGACAATGTTGCAACATGCCCATGAAGGTACAATTATGCATTTTGTCAAGTGTTGTTTCCTGCTTCGTCCTGTACCTTCATTGGATTGGTCACTTTCTTGTGTTAAAAATTGAAAAACTTTTACCTTTGTTCGATCGATAATTGTGCAAATGTGAGCAAGTCGAGTGGTCTTTTGGACTCCTGGAGTAAGTAGACGCCCTCTGGGAAGAGGCAGTCGATCAAGCCACAAGGTCTCTTCAAACACTGACCACTTATATAGCAGCTGTGGAGTGCTATCGTCTTCTCCCACATAGAATGCCCGGTCATTATTGCTGTATTTGATCACAGACTGAAAGTTGGCCCAAATACACGTATAGTGACTGGGCAATGTATTCGGGTGAAGATGGTAGTGTGATGAAAATGGAGCTTGCAATGACTTTTTCGATGATTTCACCAGTTTTTAGCACATCTTTTGAAGTTTAAACGCTTCTCCAGTTTTTCGAGATTTTCCAGCTGCCAGCCACATTGGAACATTTCAGGAAGTGTGGTTCACACACCTGCTTGCACGGTTTGTTTGCAATTTGGTGCGCAGCGTGGACCTATTTCCAACTCTCGAGATTGCACTTCTGTAGTTCTCTTGGCTTGGTATTTTTCCATTGTTTTTCCTATTGTGTGTCATCCTTGTGCAGGGGCCATGTCTTTTTTTTGGATTGTTTTTTCTGTTGCGTCTCATCCTTGTGTGGGGGTCGTGCTAATCTTTCTGTACCACTCAAAATTTTATTTTTTAACGGATGCCCGGAAGGACCTCTGTTTGACTTGTATTTTCTACTGAGTTTTCAGAAATTTTTAACTTGTTTTTCAGAGTTTGCATTTTTTGTCGAGCTCTTCCTCCCGTGACATCCATCTTTTATCTATATATAATAGTAATAATCATACCGTTGTTGCAAGATCAGCGAGCATATAACTGGACAACGAGAAGTGTGTATATTTTGCCATAGAATCCTCTCAATCAGGATTTGAACTCATGTGAGCGTCAGTCTATTTTTTTGTGCGCTTGCACCGTCGGTAAGCGTGTAACGGAGCGCAGCACTAATTCGCGCAAGCAGCCACCCCAGACCCGCCGAGCGAACGCCCAGGGGACCTTGTCCCCGTGCCCGCCGGCTCCGCCGGCCTCCCACCAACGTGCACCTGCCGACTCGCCTCGCCGCTCCCGCCCCGATTCGAACTTCGAATGTGGGCGGCCAGCCGCCATCACCAGCCATCGCCGACAGGCTGCGGGTAGCCTGCGCTCCACGTGTGACCGCACCACATCTTCTTTCAACGAAGCCATCCCTTTTCCGCGGACCAGCCGACACAATTGCCATCACCAACAAGGGAGACCTCACGGAGATCTCACGGAAACCTGCTCGTGGCGCTCGTGTACGCCCAGTCGATAACAACACTCGAGGAACTACAAGCACCTCTCCTCCGTCGTCGTCGAAACACCAGGAGCAGCATCAGTGCAGCCCTAAAGCGTTAGAGGAGCGCCACGACAACAAGGACCAAGCATCCGAGTGAAGACTTCTACTAACATTTGACCTCCCCCCCCGCCGCCTTTCCCTCCACCTCCACGCTCTCCTCTCCCCCATCCCTTGTCCTCCCTCCCACGGCTTCCAACGCTCACTTTAACCCCAGGCCCAAACCTCGGTGGGGACTCGTCCCTCCTCACCTCTTGTAATCCCCCACGCACTCCAAAGATCCGTCTCACAGACTGCGCCCCCCAACCTTCCACACACCTAACTCCAAAAATCCACCCCCCCATTCGTCGCTCGCTAACCAGCCACCTCACCCACGACCCTGCCTTCGATCTCATCACCCCCATCGCCAACTTCCCTGATCTTACTCCCCTGGATCCTGAACATTCCGACTCACCATCCATCCCTTCCCCTGCCCAGCTCTTCTCTCTCCTCTTCGACACCCACCCGATCTCCCCTCCCACTCCCGGCCACGTGATTGGCTCCCAATCATCGCTTCTCCCCCGCCTTAGAACCGGCAATAGGTAAGGAAAAATAAAGAAATAGAGGGAAAAAAGAAAAAAAGAACCAGCCGAACGCACACAGCGTTGAGTAATAAACGAGAAAAACGAAAAAAGAGATTAAACCACCCTGCCCGTAATCGACCTTTACCACGACCCGCCCACTGGAACAGACCCATCACCATCGCACCCTTCCCCCCCGCCCCCCCCGCACACCGCTCCTAACCCTCAAACACGGCACCAACCATGGCCGTGACCTTCCAGCGCCGCTATGCATCAGTCCTAGCGGCCAAACCAAAAACCATGGGCAAATGCACATGACAACCAAGTGGCTCGGTCAGTGACCACGAAACCCTCCACTTTTTGCTGGAATCTCCACAGATCAAAGGCGAAAAAAATGTAAGGAAGGTCAGCATCAATGGGATTGAAGAGGAAGTGACAGCATGGGGCTATCCCAAAGAAAAAATTGCTGACACCAACGCACTGTACGAGAAACACGCCTTGGTCTTCACCTTCTCCAACACAGGAGGTTGCCTCCCTGCGGTAGAAAAAAGAAAATGGTTAACCAAGACTATCCAAGAACACGAAAACATCAAATCAACCACAGACAAATTCACTATCCGCACTCTGAGCCGGAATATGTTGATGCTGGTTTTCAAGGATGCCAATCAGGCGTCCCACTTGATCGAAAAGCATGAAACTCTGAACTGTAATGGATCAGTGTGCTCCATCGCACACTGGAAACCGGAGACAGCACAGAAAGCCGACATCTCACCGGCCGCTTCGTTTAAGCAGAGACTGCTGCATGAGGAGTTTTGGGTTCAATTCAATAAAATCCCGATCAGGGGCCACCCCCTGATCAAGGATCAGCTAGAGGTTGAGTACCCGGCCAACAAGATTTTGAAATGGGTCCTTCGAACCCCAGATTTCCTGGCACCACATTGCGATTCAATGACCGCAATACTGGAGGTTCTCACCGATGATCCCCCAATCTTCCCAGAAGAGTGGGAATGTATCATTGGAGATGGATCCTTCACAGTCGAAGTCTCTACGAAAGCATCTCCCATCTGCTTCAGATGCAGAGAGAGAGGCCATCTAGGGAATTACCCCAAAGGCCCCCGCTCCCCCAATCATCTGAGGGAGAAGAAACTACGACAGAGTATGCGTGTCGAGGTTGAAGAAGCCAAGGGCATCTGGTTCATCAACGACCCAGAGTATGATGGCTGGGTATTCGACGACACCATCCCTGATCCCAAGTGGATCTGGACGTACAACAATATGACACCAACGACAAAACAATCGGACATATTCCCCCCATTAGACAGCAAATGGCACGTGATTGGAGCCAAAAAAGTCACCGGCTTGCCTGGGAAGTTCCACTCAGACCCGGTGATCGATCCCTGTGCGATCATGGAGGAGAAGAAACACAAGGACCTGATGTGGGATCTGGAAGCGTCAGGCATCAGACAGCCGATTTATTGCAGAACGGAGAGGAAGATAGCAAAATTCTCCTCGCAGCCAGACAGATCATCGAGGAGCGCTATCCCAAATCGGAGAGCGCCCTCAAGCGACAGGCCTCGCCCCCGAAAGGTAACACAGTAGACAGGGGAGGCAAGAAGAAGAGAAGGGAGACGGAAGATACATCAGATGGTACAGCAGAGGAGACACCCAAACAGGACCAACTTCCACTAAACCCCTCGCCCGGGACAATTCTCGAAAAAGGCCCTGGCCCAGACTCTGAAACACGAACAGGAATGTACATCTCACCCACCAAAAACAATCCCAACAAAGAATCCAAAGAAAAAGAAGTCCCCATCGCATGGCTGAGAAATACTTGGAAAAAGCCAAATATGAACAAGAAAAAAAAATTGATATCCGGGTGGCCTGCATGAAGCACTGGGAAAAGATAAGCAAGCCCGGTGCAGGCAAGGCAACCGTGGCAGGGATCCCGCCATCCAAAAAAAACTACGATCTGCTGCGGCAGAAGAGCGAGCTATCCGAACCCAGCGCATTCAGATACTATGAGAAAAAAAGGGAGAGGGAGTATGTGGGAACCGACACAGACCCTGGCCTCGATCCCCACACCCCAAGGGACTCCATCAGGGACATGGCTCCAAAGAACTGGAAACCATCAAAGGGTAGTGACAAGAAAGCAAGGAAACCGTCGAAGGATGCCAACAGGCAAAAAAGCGAGCAATGCCAGCTCACACAGGAGATCGCAACCATGGCAGCTCAGACAAAGCGCCTGTTCGACCAGAACAAAGATTACAGAAAAGGACACAGAAAGGAGTACATCACAATCCAGAAAGTCGCTGAGAACTCGGCTGCTCACGTCACTGAGACAGCAATGTTGGACCGGAAGACCATCAAAGCCGTCCGACCCCTGGTCCCAGTCCGGTTCAGAAGCAAGTTCAATGAATGGCAGGTCGCAACAAATGTATCATTCGACATCCCCACCCTCAATGATGAACGAGCATTAGCAAGGTGCATCAGGGACAGTACCTCCGCAGACTTTCCCCTGGGAGTCTACGAAGCCCCTCTGCACGACACAACAGGCGGGGAGGACAACATCCAGGCGACTGAGAACCCCAAACCTTTCGACCCCATCCCTGTCAAACTTGACGAAAAGGCCAAACTACGGGTCGGTCTGACATTGAGAGCATGGAACACCATCACAGCACACTCCTGTACAGCGTCCTAGCTGGCAGAATGTGTCCGGCGGTAGTCATGGCTGACTCACTAGCTTCCATACTCGGGACGCACCTCCTCGTCACCAAGAACTCCCTGCAAGGTGAGGCCACTCCGGTGTATGAGGACATGGAGGAAGATGAGGGAGATATGGACGAAGAGGACATCGTGATCGAGGACAAGGTATCCCCAGGTGGCGAGGATGAGGCTGCCCACCCCCAGTCCAAGGGCGGCATGGGGGCATACAGCCTCGATTCTGTCCCAGGAAAGGAGGACAGCGGGGATTCTGATACTGAGAGCACGGTGACAGACACCGTGGTGGACCGAATAGCACTCCACAAACCCTTGGCGCACCTCCTTGTCACCAAGAACTGCCTGGCTAATACGAGGCAAAATTGCGAACGTGACAAACGGTGTGCTGAGGTGGAAGACATGGCACGCTACAGGCTGAGAGACAACATGACCTGATGCTCCGACAGGGATTTGAGTTAGTTCAAAAGTTACTTTCTTGTGTTTCTTGCTACGTCCTGGTAGATTCGACAGGTTCACAGGTGGGACCTGAGAGGAAGTCATGAGGAAGGCAAGCTGGCAGTCAATCCTCCTTTAGCATGGAGCAATCAATACTGGTCAGGGTTCCTTCGGACAAACGGAAGGAAGCGTGAGTGAGTAACAAACGTTGTATTTCAATATCTCGACTTGCCGGTGGAATAGGAACCGGAATGACGCTCCCCAGAATGGATATGGAGCCAGGACCATAAGGACCTGTTTAAAAAAACAAATAAATAAATAAATAAATAAATAAAAGAGGGGATTTGAACTCATGATCTCTTTATGAGCAGCTCCAGAGATGTGTCTGGTGGTGTCAATCATTACATGCATAATTCCACAGCTTTCCTTTATAAAAAAGAATCCCTCAGCTGATGCTGAAATTCTGATGATTGGCTGGATATCTTTTCTTTTTTCTTTTTTCTTTTTTTTCTGAAGGCATTTGAACATCTTCTGGAGAGAGAACTGGTTACTCCAGCGGATGTGCGAGCATCCGTGTGCGACTTGATGGAGTTCCGTCCAATTAAGCTTCTCATTTCACATGCCGAGCTGGAGCGGGGTCTCAAGATGCACCCGACCTGTCCTGTGAGTCTTCGATCTCACGATTCTCAACCAACTCCTGCTTTTACCTGTAAATCCTGTCTTCCATGTCATCATCTGTTCCAAATCTATGGCCAAATGCAGATGCAGAAATGGACAGGGAGCCAACTCTTTAACAGCCTAACAGGTGATGTGAAAAGCTATGTATGCTCCCAATCAATGGTCTTGGTTGGTGCTGTCATGGAACGTTATCAATGACTGCAACTCCCATCTCCAAGTATGTTGTCATGAAATGTCGTCACTTTTTGTGTCGTCTGTCACAGAATGGCACTGTAATTTTAGCGGCGGACGGTCGAACTATGCCGTCCTTACAGATAGACCTCATGCTGTCATGGGCTGATGTTATCCTCCAAGAGAAAATCTTCACAGAAGGGAAAAAGAAGAAAAGAAAAAATACAGATCTGCACTTCCATCGAACTGCATGCGCTTGTATTCCCTGGTGCCCTCCTTGCCCAGGGGTCTTGCCAGTCTTCTCAATCATTTCCATTTCAATGAATGTTTGGAAGGACCCTTTTGAAATATAATAATAATAATAAAATAATATAAATCAATAAAATAAAAATCATTCTGAAATACTAATTCTGAAACGAAACTTCTTTTGGTGTGTAGTCCTCCTTCCCACAGTGACAAACCCAACACTCAACATTGTAAATTTTATGACTTGCCGGTGGAAAAGCAACCGGACTGATGCTCCCCATAATGCACAAGGAGCCAGAACTGTAGGGTTCTGATTTAAAGAATAATAACTATAAAAAAAAATCACCGGCAGATTGGCGGTTGAAGAACCAAACACAAATGGAACAACTGGTAGAACGCGACTATCACGAAATGAGCCCCACAGCTTTGTAGCCTGCACTGGATTGTGTTTTTCTGTCCACAGTTCACGCACGGGCTGGCAGGAGCTCATTGACTCTCTACCGTCTTCCCCGGAACATAACGCACACTCGTCATGACTTTATTTGACATGAAAGATAGCTCGTTTGCATTAATGAATGAGGTTTGTTGTTTTGTGTCCAAGGGCGCGCCACTATGCATGTATAGTATTGTATACATGAGACACATTTGTGGGATTGTATAGAAAAAGATCCTTCAGGATTAAGGTGAGGAATGAGTACTAAAACATGGCAGACGGATCTTGTGCGATGTGTAAACTGCCAGTACATCACCCAGGCAAACTTTTCTTTTTGTTTTCCTCCTCCTGTAGGAGGTCTACAACCTTAAACCACCAGTACTTGGCCCAGCTATCGGCCGCGGAAAAAAATAGAGTAGAAACGTTTCTAGTTGGATGAATTTGGGCGCTCCTGTAGTGGCCCATACGTTTCCTAAAATTGCGTAGCGTTAACGCTACGCGACTTTAGGAAGTACTGGTGGTTTAAGATATCATCATGCAGCTGACCGTCCCTAGTAGGTAATCAGAGCTCCAGTTAAGGAATGGTGGTCGTTGGATGTGATGAATGCACCGGTGCGGACAATCAGTGGGGAAAGCCTAAGCCAATGTCACTCCATTTGTGCAATGTGGCTTAAAGCATCCAACTCACCCAAGTGGGACCAACTCAATGGGGACCGCAGGATGTCAGAAAAGAGCCGAAGAGGCTCGTGAGATATTCGGTCTATGGTGAAGTTCCTGGATCCCGTCGAATCATAAGGGCAAGTGGTGACCAATCCACTTCTGTCAATTGTAACGAACACAGATGTAGAGGGATCACTCTGGAGAAAGCGTACGGACTGTCTGCAGGCAGCAGATCCAAGATGTGGGGACACATACACCGCAGAGTCAAATGACATTCGCTGCTGCTTGATGTGCGAGTTTCTTTTTTGTTTTTGATTTCTCCTTTTTTGGTATCCTGGTAGAGTGGTAGTGGAGGCCAACACGAAACGTATGTAGCTCTCAAAATTCCTAATCCCTTTTGTCCAACGTGATAAACAGATTAATAATTTGAAAAATTGAAATCCATGGGGAAAGATAATTCAAAATTTCTAACACTAAAACATTTGTAAGCCCCCACATGGGAGTTGCTTTGGTGGTGCATTCCGTGAGATAATCCTTCTTCACAAGTACGCAGCACACAACATCTGTTATTGCAAAAGAAACCAAGAAGAACTGTGAGCAAGGAGAGGAGGAGGGAGTGTTTGTGTATGTGTGTGTGTGAAAGGGTGTGTGCGACGAGGCACATGATGGTATGAAACATCATTACCAGCGACTCTTCGAAATAGTTTTTCGGCGCACATTAGGAACGAAAAAATGGCACAAAATCTGTTAACCAAACAAATCAACAGAATGGGGCGATGGGGGGACACATATACCTCCCTCCTAGGAAGGGCTTTAGCGCTTAACACCTCCATCTTCTCAATGATGTGGTACATCGCCTCCATCTGGACCATACCTGATGATGTGATCAAAGAACTCAACAGCAAAGCAAGAGCCTATCTTTGGTCAGGAGATCCCAACAAAACCAGCTACATTCCCAAGATAGCTTGGCACGTCATAACGAGGAGGCTGCCCAAAGGAGGAGGGTTAGGGATAATTGACCCCAAACAAGAAACAAAAGCCCTGCAGGTAAAGTGGATAATCAAATTGCTGACCCAGCCAAGACTGGCATGGCACAATTTAGCCTTAGACAGTATTTCATGTAAGGGACGCTGGACCCGCTTTCCAGCAGGTGATGTTCCCCACCAATAGATGGAGCCACCCCCCAGGTGCTAGTGGTGTCTGCTCATAACAGCACCACTATCACAGGTAAAAAAAAAAAAAAAAAAAGAGTCATACCCCCGGTCCAAACCCCGATCAACATGTCAGGCCTTTTTTGGGTAATGACTAAAGACCGGTCATCAAAGACGGGCAGGAGAAGGCGCCAGCCAAACTTGCAACACAATAATGGCAACCCCCCAACTCCATATTGGTCGGCCCTGATTCGTATATGGAGAGGCATCTTGCCAGAAAAAAAATAGAAAACCCAAATCCAAAGAAGAGGTGATGCGACAGCCCCTCTTCGGGAATCAGTGCGTAAGAGATGGGGGGGACCTACCTCTTTCCTTATCTAATGGTCAGCGGTGGCTATCGTGGATCAAGCACAGAATCTCGAGGGTGGGACACATCTGGGATGAAGAGACGAAAGATTGGATTGATGAGGACCAACTGAGACAACACCGAAAAGGATGCCACAACAGAGACGAGAACCTAACAACTGTTGTGAACAGCATCCCTGATGGATGGAAAGAACTCCTGAAGGAAGACTTCAGATGGAAAGCAGGGGAGTGGGGAGTCTTAATTCAGGAGGTCATACCAGAAAAAGCATACCAACTCTACCGTAGACCTTCAGGAACAGACCTTTCGGGAGTCTTCACCTCCTTCCCTATTGACCGCTCCAATCCCAAAGGTCTCACAATCAACAACGTCAATCCACAAGAGATAACCCTCGACTCATACACACTCCGGAATGCGAGGGTGTTGGGGATATGGCCAAAGACAATCTTCCAAGTGGAAACGGCAATCCAAGACTTAGAATGCGACCCAGAAGAATGGGCCTGGCTCTCAGGCAGTAACAGATTCTGTAAAAACCCCGTCTTGACTACACAGTACTCAGTTAAAATGGGTTACAGAATGCTACTAAAAACGAAGGACCCTGAGGCGGTGATCAAGGGGAGATGGGAAAAACTGTTAGGACGGAGAATGGAACCAATCCCTGCAGTTCCCTGGGGAAAGTACAAAACAATTCGCCCGATCAAGATCAGAAGTCTCCATTGGCTGATCAGTGATTACTTACAATGTACTCCCAGTGAACGCCTGGCTACACATTCCTAGAAAAAAAGCAGCGAACCAAATAGTTCAGAACGACGTAGCATGCTCTGAGAATATACAGGAGGACCTAATACATTGCCTACCGTCTTCACCCGAATAGAACGCCCGGTCATTATAGCCGGTATTTGGTGTAGTTTTCTGTCCAGATATGGCTATAATGACCAGGCATTCTATTCGGGTGAAGACGGTAGTTAACTGTCAACTGGCTAGTGACCTATGGGCGAGAGCCTCAGCACTCTGGGATCACCTGTTCCCTTCTTCTCTACCTGAACGCCCCATCCAGTTACTCCTGTGGACTAACCTCCCTTTTCAGTTCAACAAGTCCGAGCGCATCTGGTTCGGGATAATCAGAAAAGTGGCGATATGGGTCATATGGACGGAGAGGTGCAGCCGGACCATCTACAACTCCAGCTTGCCGTCGGAACAAGTGTGGGCATCAATGAACTCTTCATGGAGACCGACATCCGGTGCCAGTGGAAGAAGGTCAAGCTTCAAATTCAGCAGGACCCGGAGAAGCAACAAGAAACGATAGCTGAGTTCAGGAGGGTGTGGCTGGTCCAGGGAAAGATGGCGGAAATTCACGCCCTACAAATCAGATGGAAAAACTGGCACAATTCGGCTACCCCCCAAGGAACGAGGGGTTCCCTTCAGAATGGACAACAAGATCTCAGGGCTACGTGAGACCCCCTGGGAGCCACTCAGCTAGCAGCCGTCTGCTGTTTTCCACACCAATGCGGGGCTCCAGAGGCATAAGAGGCGGATCAGGATCTAATCAGCAGTTTATCTCTGTCTTCCTTGCTTTATTTGTAGTATCTGGCAGGTTTCAATATGGAATCTGAGAGGGAACTCAGGGACAGGCAAGCTGACAGTCAATCCTCCTTCAAGGAGCAATCAACGCTGGTCGCGTCCTTCGGCCATACGGACGGAAGCGTGTGTGTGTATATCGATGTACCCATTCTTGACTTGCCAGTGGAATAGGAACCGGACTAATGCTCCCCAGAATGGAAAAGGAGCCAGGTCCATAAGGACCTGTTTTCAGAAAAGAAAAGAAAAAAAGGAACGAAACTCGTAGGCATGGAACAGACTCATCCATTACTGGAAGGTGGGGAATGACTATGCCGGTCTACAAGAGCATCCATGCTTCAACTCCACTTTGCGGACGAACCAGAACACACGCAATAACGCA